AATGAAAAAAATTCTTTTAAGTTAATACACATTTAAATACCAACTAAATCGTAGAACAGACCTTATCATACAAATGATGTAATGTATTTATTTGTGGATCATTCCGCAATATTTTTGGTGCCCAAAATGGCTTTACTTGTTGGTGACTTTTATCATTATTTTTATCATTACTTATATTATTTGTTTTATTATAATTTTTCGATTTATTTCTAATTTCTTCTGATATTGATGCGTAGTGTTCCCTATTATCATCTTTGCTAATCATTTGCAATATCGGTTCCAAGAATGATGGAGCTGGTACATTAAATGTTGTACCGTCGGCGACAAACAATCTAGCTCGACTTATCTTGTATTTTTTTAATAAACTTCTACATGTTGATGCGCGATCACGTGAAATATCTACTCCAGTAATTGTACCACACCCTTTTGTGCCCAAGATATTAGATATCATGCATAATTTTGCTCCTAAAGTTAGAGTAACAATGGTGAAATAAAAAAAAAATAATGTATGTAGTTTTAGAAAAGGCTTCTTACAAACCTGGAGCACAACATAAATCTAAAATATGTTCATTTGGATGAATATCAAGTGCGTAAACAGCGATCCCTGAACTTAGATCTATACCAAATATCTTTCCCTCTTTATATCTATTGGTTATTAAAATATAATAAAATTTTCAATTTAATTAATATATAATAATTATAAATAATAATCATTTAAAAAATTTACATATAACGTACGCTTTACAATTAACAATCCTACAATTACCATCTAATCCAAAAAAACCATCAATTCCTTTTACAGGCCAAATTTTTGATCCAATTTGCTCTTCTAGTTCTTTACAAATTTGTAATTGTGAATGTTCATCTTGATAATAATAAGAATTTAATCGAATGTATCTAGGTAAATTTTGAATTGTGTACACTGCGGGATCTATTTCGTTTATCTGAAGGAATTTTAAAAATGTTGACGGTAACTTAGAAAGTGAAAACGGTGGATATTTAGACATTATATATATATAATAATAATAATAAGAGAATGTAAATGCCGATACATTTAAATCACAATTTTTTATAAATGCTCTGTATGACATTGTGTTACATAAACCTTTTTGCGCCAATTTCTTAGCCGAATTATGTTGATCATTGGCCAAAATTACTCATTGAAAAAAATTAAAAAGTCACAAGGTGAACAATTCGGAATAGTATATAATTAATTGAGTATATTCTACAAAATGTCGGGCACCGGTTCAACTGAACCATATTTAGGGTTCAAATATTAGAAAATTTTAATTTAAAAATTTTTTTTTCACTAATTGATTGGTCCAATTCAGACAAAAATAATTGGACATATAGACGGACGCAACCCTGAAAAGGGCGCTTTACAATAATCCAAAGTGATTCTTTAAATGAAACTTTTGTTAAATAATATATAGTAATTAAGTTACAAATAAATTTAAGTTAATAAATGATTAAAGATTATTACTTTATGTATATCCTTTAATAATAATATTGGCAGTCTATAATAATATTGGCAGTCAATCATAATCTTGGTATC